AAACATTTTGGACCTGTTTGGCAGGTGAAATGGTGTGCAACAGATGATCCACATTATCCGCGATTTTGTTCAGCTGGTGGTGATGGAAAAGTGATGAGATGGACTTGCATTAAAGTAAAATTATCCTTCTTGAAATTGAATTTTAGAGTTATCAGATTTTTATTTTATTGACAGGGTGAATTACGTCAAGTGTTGATACTTGATTTGCCTAGTGCAACGAAACCAACACGTCTCGAAGATGGAACATTGTTGGCACTACCAGGTTTCTATTATGTTATCTGTTTGGTTCAAAGATAAAAAAAACTGCCTTATTTAGGACCAGCTATTGCACTTGATTTTCATCGTCTACGAAAAGAATTATTTCTGGTTGGAACAGAGGATGGAAAAATATATAAAGCCACAGTAAATGATCCGGGAATAATAGAAACACAATTTGATGCTCATGATTTTGCTGTGTATGGACTACAGTGGAGTCCATTTCATCCAAATATATTTTGTTCATGTTCGGCTGATGGTACAGTTAAAATCTGGCACGACAAAATTGAGTAAGGGTGAATAATTTTGAATGTATTCATGACATACCTAAATAATTATTTTAGTCAATGCCTAATGAGATTCGACTTATGTACATCGCTACAAGATATCGGATGGTCACCACATACCTCAACAACATTTGCGACGTGTGGTGCAGATGGAAAAGTTAGAAACAAACTTATTATTGACAGTAACTGACATAATTTCTTAATTTAGGTTTATGTATTTGATATTTATTCAAGTAAATTGGAACCCATTTGTGAACAATTATTAGCCAGTCAAACAGATAAAATGTGTACGAAAATTGTATTTAATAGAGTACATCCAATTTTACTAGTTGGAGATGAAAGGTAGGATATATTTTAGATGCTGTCTTAAATTTTTGAAAAATTTTACACATTTCACATTTTTTTTTATTTTCATATAGTGGATGGTGTATTTGTTTAAAACTCTCACCAAATTTAAGACGAAAGGCTAAAGTAAGCACATCGATACGGTTATAGTAAAATGATGTATAGCTTAGAGTACACCTTTTTTTTGCGAGTTCTCGGTCATTTTTTTGTCGAAAAAACTTACTATTAAACAAGGTATACATCTAGCATTTCTCTACACGCAAAATACTCTAAAAATCTCTGACTGAATCGATTTTGAGCTAGATTTAAAAAGAGCGAAATAAAATATCTTTTTTTATTATACATCCTTTAGACTAGCAAAGGAGTCGATTTACAACTGGGCGATGATGCTGAATTTAACAAATTAGTCCAAGTACTGGCACGTACAGTTGCAGGTGAAGCAAAAACCGATATTTTAACATCGCAAACTGCCGATGTAGAAGAATAAAAAATCATCAAACTTTATTCTATTAATTTTCGATGCATATGGTACTGATTCTATTCAGCTGTATTTTAATGTATTTTCTTTACCGATGAAGTAATAAAATTTCGTGTATGCACTACAGTCAAGGAGAAATAAATCAAGTCTATAATCTCTCTCTCTAAAACCGCTACATACGGGTGTTTTGATAGTATCAATCTGCGATATACATTAAACACTGCATTTCAAACCAGTAAAGACGTTCCTCATTTTTAATTTTCCAATAAATGTTAAGTGGCTAAAGGGGGAGGACTCGGTTTTTTACATCACTTTGTTGCTCATGTCGACTTACATATATGGTGACACGTTTGAACCTCTCAGACACGTTCTTCCCATTTTTTAACTTTTTTTAAAAACTTACGGAAATTTAAGGGTTTTTTTAAAAAGTTCACTGTTCATTCAAGAAGCGCGTTCTGATGATAGGACTGACACCGATCGATCAAGATCGAACTGCCTGTATGCTGAAATTATTGCGAATTCTGAATGAAGTTCGGTTAACAAAACTTTTGTTTTGTCTTGAAATGTCGATTTTTCCCAAAACTGGTGTTTTTTAAGAGCCTGCCCACTGATTGCGGCATAATGAAGTATGATGGAGAAAAAATTTTGCTGGCAAATGTCTTACTTAGATGCCAAATGGGGTACTGAGTGTAATATTGTCTCCAGTATAACGAAAAAATTTTGAGAAAAATCAAGTTTAAAAATTTTAAATTATTAAAAAATTAAAATTCAATTTACTCAAAATTTTTCCGTTATACTGGAGACAATATCACAATAAGTATCCCATTTGGCGCCTAACGAAGACTTGTGCCAGCAAAAGTTTTTCTCCATCATGCTTCGTTGAGCCACAATCTGTGGCAAGGCTCTAAAAAAATACTTCTATCCAGCCCAAAATATAAGACCGATAGTTGTTTTTTGAGCAACTCAAAGGTGGTAAAAGCTAGAGACTTGCGATTCTCGGCAGTCGAAAAAGGACAGTTTAGCCTATAGTTTTATTGGCAGAAACGTTTTCTCAACAAACTTGTCAAACAGGTTTTTCAGAGGATCTCGGGAAAACCAGTTTTTAAGTCAGCAACTTTACGCAGCAATCTATCGATTTTTTTCATCGATAACTAGTTCAAAGTGTCCTCTACGAAATAATATCCAAGCAAAAGTTTCATTTTGGTTGGTTTGGGGGAGCTCCGGGTGTTTTTTCCGAAGCCCTAGGACTTTTCTAGTCTTCGTTCTGAGACTTTCAGAAATGCATGAAAACATAGGTTATCGACCATGCTGACTGTCGTGGCAACGTTAGTTATCAAAACAAAATGCAAGAACGAAGTGAAAACCTGCACTAGCTGAAATAGCTCATTTTTGATGAAAATAGCCAAAAAGTGGTTATTTCACCTACTCTAGGTTTTCACTCGATTCTTGCAGTTTGCTCTGCAAAACTAGCATTGCCATGTGATCCAGCATGGTCGATAACCTATGTTTTCATGCATTTCTGAAAGTCTCAGAACGAAGACTAGAGAAGTCCTAGGACTTCAGAAAAAACGTCCGAAGCTCCCAAAGCAACCAAAATGAAACTTTTGCTTGGATATTATTTTGTAGAGGACACTTTGAACTAGTTATCGATGAAAAAAATCGATAGATTGCTGCGTAAAGTTGCTGACTTAAAAACGGGTTTTTCCGAGATCCTTTGAAAACCTGTTTGACAAGTTTGTTGAGAAAACGTTTCTGCCAATGAAACTATAGGCTAAACTGTCCTTTTTCGACTGCCGGAAATCGCAGGTCTCTATCTTTTACCGTCTTTGAGTTCTTCAGACTCAAATGGGAGCATTTACCTTATATTTTGGCTGCAAAAGTTCACGTTTCGTTCCATGAACGTGAACGCTAAATCACGTTGACGTCTCGGAAAAACTAGCCTTTTGGTCAGGAAATCTGCGATCTGTTCTTGAAAGAATCAATGTCTTGATCAGAGAATAAAGGGGTATCCTTTTTACATTGCAATAATCTGGTCCCTACCCTTCACTAGAATTTCTATTGATCAGATAAGACAAAGCAGAAATATATATGCTCTTACTACAGTACCAGAACAGAAATTTATGTTTACTTCAGAAAATATGTACACCGTTCGTATAAAAAAAGCTCACGTCCACAAGTGCTTGAATGTTAGGAACGTCAACGTGGCTTAGCGTTCACGTTCAAAGAACGCGAACGTATTTAACTTTTGCTTGGATATTATTTTGTAGAGGACACTTTGAACTAGTTTACTCAGACATTTCCCGAAACAGTTATTATTTTCCCTTCAGAATCAAGATAGCCCGTACATTCAATTATCTGAGCATTTGGTTATTTACAACTGATTGGCGTCATTATTAAGCAATAATTAAGCACAATTAAAAATTATCAAGCACTATTCAGTTATTAAATTGTTAAAGCATTGTTTCAGAGATTTAGACCATTTATCAGGAGATGATAAAAAAATATCTGATGAGTATCCAGAAATAAAAATTCCCAAACATTTAAGACAATTGGTAACGGATGTCCAACTAGAAAAATGAATTGATAGCGATGGATTTATGCGAAATATAGATGTAAAAATGAGCAACATTATATTATTAAATATAATAGAAAAATTGCTCTAATAGATGCAAGTAATACAGAAATAGTTCAGCAAAATATGTATATCTCTAATTTTTTTAAATTTATCAGAACATTTTCTTTTTTCTCTAATAAAATAAATTGATCAATTCCTTTTACTGCCAACTCTCGAAGTTCTGCTAACACTTCGTTGATTCTTTCATTGGGAGGTAAAAATTTAACACATACATATAATCCACCGTTTTTTCTAGTTTCATCAGCTCTAATATCTGTTACACTACCAGCAATGTTGATTGCAATAATTATCTCACCCGATTTCAGCTCTTGTTCGATAACTTTTGAATCATTTCTGTTTTACAGACTTTAATTTTTGATCCATGATATCCTGTTGCTATCAATTTTCTTTTTATTTCATCAATTTCCTTTATATATTTTTGTAATTACTAAAACTCCTCTACCACTATTAAATTTATTTATCGAACTTTCGATAATATTATTATATCAATCATTTTCATTATTAGCATTTATTACAGTTAACTCTTGGTATTGTTTTATTTTAAATGGTGAAATAACTACATTATCTACTTCACAGATGTTACTTAATGATTTTCGAGCATTACTACTTCCACGTGTTCCGGTTAATCCATAGATATTATGACGATAACGTTTAAAATATGTTACATTTGAGATAGAATTAGTAGTTAAACTTTTTGCACTAATCTTTGTGCCAGATTTTATTTATAAAAATTAATGCAAACCATTACTTCAATGCATATTTTGCTGAACTATTCCTGTACTACTTGCATTCAAACCTGTAAAAATTCATTCATTACTGGATTGGAATTTCAGCCACTGATACTGAGAACTCCACTTTCATTTAAGGCATTCTAAAGTTGATCTTATTAGAACTGTCCTTCTAAAAGATTATCCTTCTAGCATGGAGCCTGCGTAATTCCGTTTCATATTCTAGTTGGATATGGTGACGTGTCGATGAGGTTGAAACAGGCGAAAAAGGAGCTTATCCAGGTTTACTGAAACACTTGAAGAAAAGGACGCAGAGGGATAAACAATTTCTGTAGTAAAAGTTTTTTGCACGATAATTTTTTTCCGAAGATTTTTGAGGTGACAAAAAAATTTGTCTCAGCAAGATCTTTTGCAATAAACTTGTTTCTTCTTGCTGATAAAAAGAAAATTTTTAATTAATGAACGACTTATTACAACCGACCCAAGTTTCACGTCTCACACCTTACTAGAGTTTATCACTTTCTTAAAGCTCTAAGAAAAACACCAAATCACTGGCATAGCGGTTGATAACGCCTCATTTTGAGAAAAATAAGTTGTTTATCTAACTGAACAGCTAAGAAGCGAGTCTATTAATCTAATAGCAAATGATAATTTATAACTGTGGAATAAAAGAAAATACCATATATTAGCGAAGTTCCTGTATAAGGAAAGAAATTCTCGTCTTTTTGTCTCGTCATTTTTGTGATATAAATAAGAGAGCGTAATTTTCTTGAATATATGCTTTGTTAATAAGCTCAATAAATGTTGAAATGTAGTCATTCATTTATCTTATTCAAACCGAAATGTAAGCAACTGCTCTCCAATACATTTTGTCATATCATTACATTTTTCAATTTATTTTTTTGTATACTGTTCAATATGGATCATTCTATGAACCATGATAAAGGTTGCATGTGTTCGTTTTATAGCAGGTGGATCACATGAGCAATTGTAAAATGTATTTTTAGCATGTTATTTCCATTGGAAAAGCTCATAAATTGCGAAGTTCCGCAAGGGTGGATACTCGATCAGCTCTTATTTCCGATATATACAGGGTGTGTTATAATAACTGATGATAAATTGTTAATGACATTCACATACTTTTTCTTGATGAAAAAATTCAGCTGTTTATTGTAAAATATTCACCATTTAATCCTCTATAAAATGGTATATAGAAGATGATCCTGAGGCTAGAGATGCCGTCTTAATACAACAACTCATATACCCCAACAACTTCACAAATTTAACTCGAATTGTTTGATTATAGTTATAATTAGACATCTAACAATTTTATTGCTAAGATTATCGCTAAGGAACATGACGATTATAATGACTATCAGACTTATGAAAAACGAAGATAAATAGCGAACTATCAGATCTCAACAAAGGAAAATCCTAGGTCAAGTCCTTTTTATCAGATGGCAGTATATCCATGAACTTCCACATGGAAGATTCATCTAAAAAAAGATAAAGAAGTAAAATAAGGAGTATACTAGTAATTATCAGTGAATCTTGTCAATGATCACTGATGATTGTCAAATTGCTTGTTTAACACATTGTCAACAATATGTCAATCATTATTGAGTTATATCAAGAATCATATCCACTAGGGCCGACGTTGAAATAATGACCGCGAATCATCATCTCTGTCGTTCATATATATGTGTAATATTTGCAATAGAAATGTTCTTGTTATTATCAATACGAATCCACGAATTAACAGCTCCTCATCGCCAATGTGAAGGGAAAGTCTATTACCTCAACGTGCATTGCTGAATTAATCAGTGTATGAATAATAATGATAATGATAATAACTGCATTCCCTACAATTGATCGCTGATCATAATTAATTTGTTGAGTATGTTCGTTCAAATAATGGTAGGATTGAATCGGTGGTGATTTATTTGATTAATGGTAGCTTTTTAACATGTCATGTTTGACTAATACTAAACCGCCAACGTTGTGTTTTGGATCGAATCTTCTGCTTGTTGATGATCAAATGGTAACACGGGTGAACGTCCATACATCATTTCAAATGGTAGTATTTGTTCGGTTGTTGTGTGGATATTGGTATTATAATTGAATGAAACAAATGGTAACTGTTCATCCCAATCGGTTCGTTTTTTGTTGCATAATGCCGCTATTTTGTCATCCATCGTTGCGTTATATCGTTCGATTTGTCCATTTGTCATCGGGTGGTACGGTGTAGAATATAAATGTGTAACTTCAATTTTCTTAAATAATTCTTCCATTATATCCGCTGTAAAATGTGTGCCGTTGTCAGTTATAATACATCGTAGTCTGCCGTATTTTAATATAACTTCGTCCTTAACGAATCGTGCTGCAGTGGATGGAGTACAATCCCGAACAGCTTTCGTAATCACGAATTTTGATAATACATCAGTTAATGAAATAATATATTTATTATCACGTGGTGTTATTGATGTAATTGATCCATGAAAATCCATTGACAATAATTTCCAAACACCTTCAGACGGTTTGATTGGTTTTAATTAGCCAGGTGATTTTTGTCGTAGGTGGTTATTCTGTAAACATGGTATGCGCGATTGTTTATATGATTACGAATGTCTTTAACCATGCTTGGCCAAAAATATCGATGTTGAATTTTCCTTGTTGTTTTATCACGACCAAAATGTGCACTGTTTGCTGCTGTACCATGATATATTTTTAAAATATCGACACGTATTCGATCTTTTGGAACATCACTGGTGCTACTATGTACGATGACGATATTGGATTTTCGGTTTGTGTTGATCGAGATTGCATAGAGACGTAATCGCCTTGATCTTCTGCTGAATCGTCAACTGATGAACGTAATAAGTAATCTGCCATTGCCTTTAATATAACGTATGGTGAAGTGATATCGTTGCAATTTTAAACGCCAACGTTCACATTTCATATTAAGTTGCTGTTTTAAATTCAGTAGTTCTAATGGTTTATGATCTGTTTCTATTGTAAAAGGACGACCATCAAGATATTTATGCCACTTTTCAATTTCCGATATAATAGCATAACATTCGATTTCCGTTGCCATTTCAATTTCAGCTGTGTTGGGGATAGTTTTTTGGACAAATACGCAACTGGAAGATCACCATTTAAATAAGTCTGCATCAAAACAGCTCCAATACCAAGCTTTGATGCATCCGTTAGTATTTTGAATGGTAATTGATCATTTGGAATACGTAATACTAAATCACTGGTTAATATTCGCTTTAATTCAATAAATGCATGTTGTCCGTCATTGGATACAGACGAAAATCCTGTGATGTTTTCGCTGGAAAAATACTTTTCCGTGAAAGTACTTGGCCAAAGACAAAAACCTGTTTTTCTAATAGCCCACGTCGAGTACATGCGAGATATATGTCATACCACGTTCGGGAATCCCGTAGAATGGTGCAGCATGTACTCAAACTTTGAAAAGCGAGGAAAATCGCCTTTAAGAGCAGTTTTTTTCTACCATTAAATGTTTTCTAATCGCAATGCAAATCCCTTCATCAGATAGAATTTGAAAAGACGCGCCGAATGCACATTTTGTTGTCTTGTGTTGATGTGATTTTATGGGGAAAAAATGATTTACAAAAAAGGCCTACTTTTCGGAAAAAATGACCTTTTTAAACATTTTCCTGAGAACGTGCTTAACATTTTGAAACTTTTTGTCCGCTAGTGATTTTGTAGCTCTGCACATCTAGAAGCTAATCTAACGGTACCAGCTCATGAAAGTGTTTCACTAAAAAATGGTGAAAATGCCTACAAAAGAACTATTCTGCTGGGCAATGGGATTTCCACAGATCTAGAAGCCCACCATGTCGTCGTTTTAAAACCTTTTAAACGTGATATTTGTCATCAGGAGCCCGAGTTCTACTAGTCCTGTTACTTTCGAACAATCCGGACAAAGTCGATGTAAACTCTGGTACACTTTCAAAAGAATCACCCTGAACTGAAAGTAAAACCATTTAAATATCACTAACAATAAAGAAATTTTTTTATTTTCAAAAAATCCTTTCTGACAGAAACTTGAGCAAAGTAATTATTTTTTCACTTTGGTTAAAAGTCACACTGAAGAAAAACGTTCCGACCCTGATCCTACCGGTTCAAAAACGAGTCCTCAAGGCTCTACTCAAAGTTCCCGTTGTTAGCTATTTCTAAATTGCACATTGAAGTAAAAGAGACAACTGTTAACAAGAAGTCCTTAAAAGGATGGCAGTCACTGATTTAGGTCAGAATACGGCTATTTTGACAAAACTTTTAAAATTGAAATCGAGAATTGATTGGTACTCGAATTCCAAGCAAGGGCGGGCTTCATTTAGTTTTAAATAAGATAATTGTTTACAATCAGCTCATAACTACGGTCTTTGGCTCTATCATTTTTTTTCATTTAGTTTTCGTTTCTTTTCATTTTTACATATTTTTTTCAATTTTTACAAGATATCAATGGCAGTTCTTTATCAGTCTTTTAATTCAAAGGATAAGCTGTTTGTTAGCATAACATGATTGTCGTGGAAACCTACTTGTTTTCATTTTTCGCTTTGTTATATTATGTAAAACATAAGAACGCATCATTTTTTTTAGTAAAATACAATTTTTTTGCCACAATTTAAAATTAAGATATGAGCCACAAAGTGGTCGTTTATTGATGGATTCAATACTAAAAATATTTTGTCGTCAAATCGAAGATTTACTACGGTTAACTCATATGGTGGTGAAAGCATTACAATTGCAAAGTTTTTTATCAGCTGATCAAAATTTATCTGTAACTTTTGATATCTCAAATGAAAATTGTGTCGATTATCAATGTTCATTATCCTATGATTTTTGTAATGAAGTCAAATTTGCTCATCAACGTTTACAACATACATGTTATCTGTTACAACGTGCAATTTATCGTGTACAAGCAATGAGACAAGCAAAACCACTATGTCGTATTCAAATTCATGATGATACTATTGTGCAATATGATCATTTTCTCTCAAAAGAATTTAATTATATTCAAACAACAATTCAAAACTCAAAAAAATATCTACACAATTTATTACAACCGTTGAAAACATTACAGTTAATTTATAATCAAATAGAACAAAATATTAAAGTGTTACTTTGTTGTACACATTGGTCACTACCGTATAAAAATACCATGTTCTTTGCTCCATTAGTCAGTGATATATTAAGTCATTTTTTTCTTATATTAACCATTGTCTCTCGTCTCTCATTGGACATTGTCGATTTGAAACCATGTAAACAGCCGACAAATTTAACATTGAAATTATCATCATCATCACAATGTATCTTATCAACAAGGGCATATACACTCCGATATACCAATAATAATACAAAATCAAAAAAACACATCACTTCATTATTTTCAAATTTAGATTTTAGTAAGAATGTTACAAAATCAGTAAAAAAGAATAAGACAATGGTAAGAAACAGTAGTCCAATAGGGGAATAAAATTTGTCATTTATCAATTAATCTAATGATACTATCGATTACTTTCAACTCTCTTAATATATAGAAGGCGACAAGAAATTATTTTGTTCAAAATATTTTAGTTATAACACCAAATATTCTCGTGTGCTATATACACATAACCGAAAAACAGCTAGTGTTAGAAAACTGTTTATTGGAAAATTCTGTTTATATTTTATTTATACGTTTAAAATACATAAAAAGAAAAAACATATTAATATGAGCATGTATCGTTGTTAAACAAAAGAATGAAGTAGATAGTTGAAAATAGTAATAAAAAACGTTTGACAAATATGTTTTCATTTTATTACTAGAAAAACAAAAACAATACTCTAATAAATGAAAATCAAGCAAACAAACAGACAATAGACCAATGATGACTCTAGAAATCAGATCACAGAATAAAAGAGAAAAGTGTGAGCCTATAAATAACTTCAATAGATAGATAAACTATTTGCAAATGATGTAAAACAACTCTGTGTTTGTCCATAATATAGAAAACATGAAGATAATTTTCATCGTACTATATTTATATTAGTATTATTATTATTGTCATTGATATTTTCATCTCGTCGAGCAAGAAAAATGACAACCGCATCACCAGCAATCAAAAAAAATGCTAAAATACCCATAACACCACCACCAATTTGTCCAGGAAATTTACAATAATGAATTGTTATACTGGATGCAATCTGTAAAAATTAAACAAGAAAAATTTAGAAAATTGCTTTAATTCCATGTGTTAGTTATATACATACCAATAAATAGATTGCATCATGAACAGTAGCAAAAAAATCCTACAAACAGATAAAATGAGTAAATAATGGACGAGACATATATTATATAGAAGTGTATTGATGTTGATAAACGTGTTAAAATGATTGTGTTGACAATTGACTTAAGCAATTTTTGACATACGCGATAATCCTTACGTACATCAGTGATGACATACAAATAAAGGGTAGAATTCGTCCATCGTTATTATTTCAATCATTGATTACAAATAACAAACAATAATATTGAAATCATAGCAATATTTGTAAACGTATGATTACTAGCAATAGATTTTGTAATAAAACTAGTGACGAACTCAAGATACTATGAAAACAATTTACAAAGCTATTTAGAAAAACCTGACTTGAAATAGAATAAAATGAAAGGTTATCATTTTTGAACTCACAACAGTTTTCACAATACAAGGAAAAGAGTAGTAGAGAGTTTGAAATTCTGAAAGGGCAAAAAATGTCCGTCAGATATCGCACTACTTCTACATACCGGATATAGAATCGGTTCAGTTAGAAAAAATTTGGGTTTGGTTTGAAATTTTTGAACTAACACAACAGTTCGTCTCGATCGCGTTACAAAAAAACACAAACCGATTCATCTCTACTACATATCCGTGTATCTGTTCTGCTACATCTTAGATGCTTACTCACGAAGAACGTACTATAAATCATATATTATCAAGGTTTCTCATTTTACATACCAATAGTTCAAAATCAACTCCTGGAAATTTATTTTTCAATCGAAATAAAAATGATGTGACGATTAATGTTTGCATAACAATGACTAACCAACAAACACTTGCCAAAAATGTATGATTTGCTCCACATTTTAATGTAGTAACAAGACAAATGAATGAAATAAAACAAAATAACTAAAACAAAGAGAATATCAGTTAGAGAGTAATAATCGTACTGCAACGTGCACATGTAACTGATAGAAAACTCAAATTTCTACACATCAATGATGTTTTGTTTAGATTACTCAACGAGTCTGTCATGAGTAATATTCTACTTATGCTGTAACTACAATCAGTCTGTGTCAACGGTCATCTGATAAGTATGATTAATTTCATTTTTGATGAAATTCAAAACATTCTGTTGTATATAATAAAACTGATACAGAAAATATTATTTTCATTATTCTAAAGACGTTTGTTCACTTATTGTTCGATAGTTTATTTCATTTTTACTTCGCCTGAGAACTGAAACAGATGCGTGTCCGATTTTTTTCTATAATAAGTTGTTAGTCAGATCGTCTAGGTCGTATTTTAAACAGGGAAATAATCATTGAAGAAGAACAAATAAATATTTTTGTTGTTGAACAATTTTTCAAAGGCAAATTTCGACTATGTTTCAATTAATCGTCTTAAAAAGATCGGTTAGCAGGAAAGTATTTATTGAGAATCAATAGACCTGATCAACGATTCCAGTTCCGTGCTCAATTTGTGTGTAACAGACAGTGGTTAAAAGAGTTTTGAATACCCAGGTAGTACGTGTCTATCGATGGTACTGGCCGACTATGTACCACGAATTAAATTAGTTTTTTTGATTTTGGAATTCAAAAATTTGGTTTTTAAGTAAGTGCTTAAAGTAAGTGGAAACAGAAGTTATTCTGTTGTGAATAAAATGTTAAATATTCTTATTAAAATCCTCAGTTTAGAATTTTTCTTTATCCCCGCCTCTGATTCATACAATAGTTCAGTTGGTGTCATATTACATTCTTGTATCTACTTTCTCTTTAAAAAGTCTATTATCCTATGTGGATAATAGTCCGTATAATTATAACTTTTATACATAAATATACACCAATTTAATAACATGATGAGAAAGAGCACAAATACTTGACAATTATAATTCTCTTTGATTAATCACCACATACTTGACCGCACCTTGACTCAATCATAAAATTCATTCATACGAATATTCTGCATACTTGTAAGTTATAAAAACTATTACTAAGAAGTTTACCTATAGTCTGCTTTTGAAAAACATAAAGTTTATCAAACAGCAGGGATACTCAATGTCCTTTGAGAAATAACTAACAAATAGCACTATGATAATCATACCGAAGACTGTTTGAAGTGTACAAGCGAAGAAAAAAGCGTCTTTTGTGAACTTACCATACATGCAAATTTTAAAATTGCTCGTATCGATGTTAGATAAATACGGTCAATTTTGTCGTCTTCCGATGGACCTGACAAGGATTGCTGTGGAACACTTGCCATATAATTTGATGGAATATTAACGTTACTCATATGTAATTATTAATAATATTCGTGTTTAAATGGTATATAAAACAATAGACTATCACCACTACTGTAAATCCAACATAACCAGATGCCAACCTACTACTGCCTTCACGTTGATTATCGTCAGCAAAAAAATATATTCTGTTAATTTGTTAAAGAAGGAGATAGAGAGAGAGTGATTTATATATAATAGATGACTTTACTATAAGAAAAGAGGATAAAGTTTCTGCAAACAATAACATGTACATATATACAATGACCGGAATATATCGTACTATTATTATTCTTTAACTCTTTCTCTGTGCATGTATGAGATATGTATACGTATTTCTATTTCTAGTCTCTTGCTTTTTTCATTTGTATTTTTTTCTTTTCTTATTCTCTGTTCTTTAACAAGTTTTCCTGTCGCTTCGAAAAGAGAAGAATGATGATCATTGTACGAAACACAGTCAGTGTGATAGTTGATCTTACAATGTTACAAAAAACGTTTTATTGATCTGTTTTCTCTACAACATGAGAGCAAGTGAAAATATTTTTTACTCATGCTATAAGTTAAGATCGTATATGACCTTTATTTGAGGTTAATCATAGCCTAATAAGCAAAAATATTGTTTTCTAAAGAGTTTTTTACCTTTTCATTTTTATTAAAAAAAGAACCAAAATGATTCATACGATTATTTGTTTTTAACGTATTTAGATTTTCCTCGATCAGATAAACAAGGTAGTAAGAAAACGCTCTATGTAAGCGCGATTTTAATCTATATTGTTCTGCTGACCTTCTAGATTAAAAAATTGTTAATATTCTAGTCTTAAAGAACGTGACTTTCTGAGTAAAATGAAATATTACTCAGGTACGGTACTAGAAAAATTTATCGTACTATCGGACCATACTTAGTTAGCTGTTCTCTTGTATACTCGATACAAGGCTCTGAAAAGTACAAAAGTATGTAAACATCTATAATACTCTATCCAAATATAAAATAATATACTTTCAGTCGTATATAATAATAGACTTTCACTTTTTAAATAACAATAATACTCCAATTTTAAGAATTTTGAAGATATCATTAGTGCGGGTATCGAAAACTGCGTATAATCGATGTGTATCCTACAAATAGCTTACGATTAACCTCAAATAAAGGTCACATATGATCTTAATTCATATCATGAGCAAAAAATATTTTCACTTGCTCTCATGATGTAGGGAAAACAGATCAATAAAACGTTTTTTGTAACATCGTATGATCAACTATGCGGATAATTGTCATTTCAGTTAAAAGCTAAATGAAAACTTGTAGGTTGTTTCATCCGAAGTATCCTATGTTGTACGGGAGTAAACCAAAGTGTGTAAGTCCAAATAGAGTATCCCTCCCTAATTTTATCTAAAATTGAATTGAAGATGGCGGGATATCCCAGAGTTTCTTTATTCATTCAAAAACATAGATAGGATTTATACAGAAAAAAAATGTTAGTTTCTCTTTCTTGTCAGACAAAAGATGCCAGATGCGCACGTTTTATTTCGATAAAACTATTTCTAAAATATTTACCAGCTTAATATTAGAAGGAATGAAACCTTGAATAATTGTCAGATGGTGCATATCCAAGTAGAAAATAAAATTTAGTTTTATTGAAAAAGAATATAGAATGTAATCAGAGCTGCTACTGGTATGAAAAGATATTCGAAACATTTTTATTCAACAATTTCTACACTGTTAATTGATTCATTTATCATAAAATTTATTTATTGAACTTCATGAAATAATGTTAAAAAAAAGTGACACGATATTCAAAGTATGATATGAAAAATAATTTTATGAGAATACAAATGCTATTTTATTGATCTAAAACATTTCATTTAACCGATGTGTATTACACATTGACTATTTTTTGTAAAAAATTTTCTATTACTAGTCCATTATGTTTTTTCTTTAGCATGATGAAGTAATTCAATCTCAATGTTATCCAAGATTGGGATAAGAAACAATGAGTAAGATTCTCTTCTCTAAGTGTACAAAAAAATAATAATCATTTGTTTCTTGATGAAATAAATATCCCTTGTAGTTTAACGAAGCAACTTGAGAATAATTGTGATATACCCTAACATTTGTGTTCTACAAGTTTATTTATATCAATTCTAACGATATTTTCAAACCGTGCCTGTCAAATTCAAGATGAAATATCTCTAATATAGTTAAAAGTCTAAGAGATTAATTGCATGGCTAAATATTTTTCGAACCAAAGCACCGTTGACACAAGACACCGTAAAGACCATATCGTAAAGACCTTGATTTGTCTTCTTCTACTTTCGATGTGATATTTTTGCAATTTTTGAGTATGTTCAATTATACAGTGTACAATCTAACATCGATGTCGTTCTTCTCTCTAAATTTAATTTACAGCTCGTATACGATGGTAGTATATTAAGGCGCTGTCTTATTAATTCATGTTATTTGTATATATTTTTTCTTGTGTACGTATTGCGGAACTATTTTATTTTATCAACATGTTTGCTTTATAAAGGACTATAATCCAGATGCAAAAAAAGAAGAAAGAAAAGTAACTTAACAAAAGCAATGTTCAATTAATGTTAATAGACTTTTATCATATTTTCTATGAACTTGTACGAACAATGAGAAAATGCAAAAAGCCAAACGCAAAATAAACTTTATTTGTTCATTTGTAATGGTATCCCAAGTCAGCTTTCTTGTTTCGCAGTAAAACGTTGCGGCAAGTACGCGATCACGATTGTGCTCGTCAGATATGTGTTTTATTTTATGATTGACACGCAATTTAGCCTAAACCATTATTGAAAAAGACTGAAATAATATTTACTCACTGAGACAGATAGAATGAGTCATGCTCAAGTCCTGGTACCTATCGTTTTACGATTTAAGCGCGCTTTATACCCTGTTTTTCCCATCTGCTGCAGCCAAATCGTTTCTCTTATAATTAACTTCCTTACTTTAGTTGATTTTAATTATAATAAATTAAATAAAAGTCACTAAGAAGTTTTGGAATTTATATTTATAGGAATATATATCAACTAAAATAAGGAAGTTAATGATAAAAGAAACGATTTGGCTGCAGTAGATGGGAAAAATAGGGTATAAAGCACGCTCAAATCGTAAAAAGACAATTGAAGTCTTATGAAGTTTGAGGCTCAAAATAATGGTGATGACTGTACGACCTTCATCTAGAAATGGTTTTTAATTCTGAGCTTTTTTCTTTTTCGTCTTTTCTTACTCTCGCATGATCAACACATATTATCTCTAAGAAAGAATAAGCGTGAGTTAGTTAGCAATCAATAGTTATGTCATTTATTATTAGAATCAAAAATTGTTAAATATTTAGACATGTTGTTCGTCACGTACTTCAAAGGTACTGTGTTCAAACCTCGGATCCATCAAGTTATGTAATAATCTTGAGCAAGAAGTGTCTCGGATCACCCGTCCGATAGTAAACTCTTTACGTTGCGACGTACAATATAGTTCCTCCGATTAATCTCCTTGGCTTTTCGGAAAGCTAGTACGTGTTTAGTGAGTATGTATGGGAAGAGCAAGCAATTGGGCAAAAGAACATCAGGCTAATCTTCTGATAAGAGCTGCAGTTTGATGACTAGAAACGCGATGGGTGAACATGTCAGAAGCTTGTCAACTGTAGGGAAGATATCGGGCTATAGAAATTTACACTTTTCAGCACCCTACATCGGTAACGGTAGCCGCAAGGCGGGATATTCTGCCTAAATATTTTAAAAAGCGCACAACTTTAAACTACTTTTGGGACCTTAATGTTTTTGCAATCGAAATTTCTATTTCTTAACAGGTATGCGCTAAGTGTGGTTAATATCATGGATGGAAATTGAGTTTACATTTCAAAATCTTGGAGCAAGAGAACATATTTTTGCTACAGCACCCGTAAATAATCTAATATCTCGTTTGTTTCGTGATCCTCCTACGACAAGCTATAACTTTTGTTTGCGAACATCTATTACGGTCTACAAATAATATGTACAAGTAGTTGTTTTTGAAAAGTATCCAAAATGAGGTGTCGTAGAGCTCTGTACGGTGTTACTGATAAAGTTGGACAATCTTCCAAAAAAGTAATTTTCGCGTTATGACGTTTAGACGTGTTGTAGATATCTAAGATGACATTGTTAGAATGTAAGTACAGTGATATAAGTTATAAATATAAAATTTTGACCTATTATTAATCGAAAAAGCAACCGCTACGAGAAAAACTCTCCAGGTATTCCACCAAATTGTGACGATTTGACGGTTAAAAATTGAAAACTGATGAGTGCAATTAACTGATGAATTTCAAGAATGATGATATCAGTAGACGCGCGAGAGTCAGATCGATATATCTAGAGTTAATAACGCTTTGATTCGGTTAAAACACAGCAAAAGTTTTAGAAACTCGTCATAATTAGCCCATAGTACCATAGTACTATGCATACTCATTTAATAACTACAAATAGACACAAGTTATCCTTTAACTATTTTTCTTTAGTAATGAAGCTCTTCTTATATAAGTACAACATAAGAATGGCACTACATTCAGTAATGAAACTCAAAAAACTGTTATTGATATAGAAAACATTTCTTTTTCTTGTTTTCTTCAGTTTAACTTCAGCGCCTTTACACCGTTTCTCCTATATATAAATTCAGTAAAAAAAGAATTCGTTAAAATCAAATTATACGTTAGTTTTTCTTAAGTAGCAGATTTCAATCGCAAAATCAATCGTATATTTCTTTCACTGATGATTTTATTAGTCATAAATAAATATAAAATTTTGGCTTGTTATTAACCGAAAAAGCAACTGCTACGAGGAAAGTTCTCAAGATGTTCCACCGAAAAGATATATAGACATATGTAATCAGTGATTCCAAATATCATAGTGGGACTACTCATATTGCTCTGAAGATCAGTTTTCAGAAAATCAGATCTCCACGTCCAAATCGTTTTTCACAAGATTGATTTTAATGTTGTCAGTTTGTAGAAGACGT